TGGGCTTATTCAATTAATTAAACATAGTCTACTTGATTCAATTACATCAAGCGACACGTCATATTCACTTTCATTAATTTACATTGCGACGAATCGTCCATGCGACGAATTATCCACGCGACGAATTGACCTCGTACCCATCTAATAATCAAACTCGAATGATATATGTACGACGCATTTACAATATTTCTGTTTTCTATTTGCATTCGTTTCAATTTTGTTTTTCATCATTCCCTTTCGTATTTAGCGTTGGAGAAGGTAAACGTATTTAGCGTTGGAGAAGGTAAACGTATTTAGCGTTGGAGAAGGTAAACGTATTTAGAGTAGTACTTCCTCATCGTGACAATATAAATAATCCAATAACTATACTTTTATATTTGACGAAAAAAGGTCGATTATTTCATGCGAGAAGATTTCATTTTGAAAACTATTAAAAATACAAATAAATTTCATCTTTTTCATTACTTGTTCTTTACTGTTTCTTTTTAAATATAGAAACTGAATGTGCATATCAAGATTTAATTGAAAAATAAGTCATAAACGTTGAGCAATTTTTGTATACATGTAAAATATATCATCTAGAAAAATAAATATAAAAGATCGTCAATAAATGTTGTCGGTGCATATACGATGTAACACGACAACATAAAAGATCAATTAGCGGTATAGTCAATATTACAAGATTTGTTTTTTTTTGTCACTCTTAGGAATGCTTGTGACCTTTACGATCGATTGCATAGCAATCAATTAAAACCATCAAAGACCACTTTATGTAGTGAGCGGAATGTTAAATTTTACAAATAGAAATGAAATTTATTTGATCTCGATTGCTTACCAATTGTCTATTTCTTACGAATAACAAAAATGACTGTAAATAGCAATAATTTTTAACGTTAGAAATCATTCCCCATCTTTCTTTCTCTTCTTCTTACATTATAATATGTATATTTTATTTTTTAACTATTTTAGCTTGTATTCGTACTGGCTATTGTTCAATATCACAGGTAAGTATTAGTTTAATTTTATTTTTTTGTTGTCTCAGCTTTTTATCCCATTTATTTTAATTTTATATAATGATAATAATTGTCTTTCTATTATCTATTTTAGCTTCAATTTTATTTTTTTATTTTCTATTTTCTATGATTATGATTGTTTTTCTATTATCTATTTTAGTAATACAAAAAAGTAAGTATACTTTTGTATATATGTATATATATTACGTCCTACAGATGCCTTCCATACATCGGCGTAAAACTGGTCAAGCCTACCTTGGTGCCCATAACACGTACAGGCCGCATATAGATCTCCCTGTTGTATGTTCTATACATGCTAGATCTATGCCTGTACGCGAAGAGCCTTGGCTCTCTATGGCACCATCAAGGTAGCTCTTGGTCGCGCGAGCAACTATTAGCTGGTAGGCAAAAAAAAACATTTTCTCATTCCAATCAATTCATTTCTTCTTATTTCGTTTTAGTTCATCTCGATTTCTTCAACAGCAAAGTAAATATAATTACTTTCCCTTTTCTTATTGCAAACAAATAAAATTAATTGTTATTTTTATTTTTTAGTTCCATTCAACATTTCAATTCAATTCAAACGAAAATAGTTACAACTGTGTGTTTTTTCATGTAGTTTTTTAGTTTTTTGTATTTTTTTTTGATTTTTAAAATAAACATTATTAAAATAACTCAAACTCTTTCTTTTCACTTTACTTGTAAATTATTTCAATGGAATAATAAATATTTTGTGAAAATAAAACAAATTATATTTTCACTTTACTTATAAATTATTTTATTTTATCAATAAATATTTTCAAAAACATACAAATTTTCATTTAAATAATACAAATTTTCTTTGCATTTAAATCATAAAATTTGTAAAAATAAGACAAATTTTATTTTTCATTTCAGGAATAAAATATTTTCAAAGTAACACAAATTTTATTCATTTCAATAATAAATATTTTCAATAACATAAAAATTTTCATTTAAATAATACAAAATTTGATTTTTTCATTGAAATCATAAATATTTTCAAAAACACACAATTTATTTTTTTTCACTTTAATAATTAATATTTTTTGCGAAAAATAATTTTTACTTAATTCATTTGTTTTCATTTAACAAATAAATAAATAAAAGAAGAAGAAGAAAAGAAACATATAACGTAATTTTATATTTAGCTTTTTCTTTTCTTTAAAGCGAAAGAGTAAAAGAAAATTTCTTTTTTTTTCTTCATTTATTTCAAAGTATAGAAAAAGAAACGAACAAAGAAAAAACAATTCACAAGTCTTATTCGATAGAAAATCGTTGAACACGATTATTATCAAGATCGGCGACGTAGAGATTACCATGTCGATCGAAAGACAAACCAATGGGGATGTTGAACTGATTTACTCCTGCTCCTCGACCATTTCCACCCACAATTAAAGTGCCTTGCTTCTTGTCTCCTTGAGTCCAACGCATTACACGATGATTCCCCCAGTATGCTACATAGAGTGTACCCAACGTATCAACGAAGATTCCATTAGGATGAGGCGATTGTATCAGAGCATACCATTGACCTTGTCGTTCAGCGACCGCAATACCTTCTTTTGCGCCTTCCACCCATTTCATCACACGATGATTGTTTATGTCTGATACGTAGACATTCTGTTGTCGATCGACAAAGAGATATCCCGGTTGGTGGAGTTGATTAAGATTCGCACCTTCGCCATTACCACCAGCTACGAGAGTGCCATTCTTCTCACCCAATTGATATCGTCTTACTTCATGTTTTACAACGTCAGAAACGTAGAGATTTCTCTGCTCATCAATAGCTAATCCCCAACAGGCGATGTTGTCGATGAGTATTTCACCTTGTGTTGTACCACTACGACGAGACCATCGTACAACTCGTCGATTCCCCAAATCACAAATAATGAGACTATCCGTCTCTTTGTCAATTAATACATCAGTTGGATACTGCAATTGATTCAATCCATTTCCTCGGCCTTTACCACCAGCAACAACTTGTCCATTCGTTGTATCACCATTCTTCCATTGCATGATACGATGATTCCCGAAGTCAGCAATAACCACTGTTTGATCATCATCAACGAAGAGACCAAAAGG